CACTGTTGGTGGGAGTGTAAATTAGTTCAACCATTGTGGAAGACAGTGTGGTGATTCCTCAAGGATCTAGAACCAGAAATACCATTTGATCCAGCGATCCTATTACTGGGTATATACCCAAAGGATTATAAATCATTCTACTATAAAGACACATGCACATGTATATTTATTGCAGCACTATTCACAATAGCAAAGACTTGGAACAAACTCAAATGCCCATCAGTGACAGACTGGATATAGAAAATGTGATACATATACACCATGGAATACTATGCAGCCATGAAAAGGATGGGTTCATGTCCCTTGCAGGGACATGGATAAAGCTGGAAACCATCATTCTCAGCAAACTAACACAGAAACAGAAAACCAAACACTCCATATTCTCACTCATAAGTGGGAGTTGAACAATGAGAACACATGGACACAGGGAGGGGAACATCACATACTGGGGCCTGTCGGAGGGTGGGGGTCTAGGGGAGGTATAGCATTAGGAGAAATACCTAATGTAGATGACGGGTTGATGGGTGCAGCAAACCACCATGGCACATGTATACCTATATGACAAACCTGCATATTCTGCACATGTATCCCGGAACTTAAAGTATAATAAAAAAAAAAAAAAGAGAGAGAGAAAGCCCACAAATTATCAAATATCAGGCATGAAAGGGGAGTTAGCACTGCAAATGCCACAAACACTGAAGAATGAAAAGTTAGAATATTATGAATAACTTTGTCAATAAATTCAACAATTAAAAAAAAAAGACTTACACTTCCTGGAAAACCAGTATTTTTAACTTCCCTTTCTAAAATAGCAGCAAAATGCATAAATCCAGAAACTCTCCCAATTGTCTCAGAATTAAGAGCAGAGTAACAGGAAACCATCTAAAATGCTGTTTAAAGGTTTCTGTTTATTTAAAGTTATATTGTAAAGCATTTGCATCTGAACAAATTTTTGTTCTTAAAGACCCTGCACCTGAAAGATTTTTAAGCCTAATACTTTCTATAAAAGTGCATCACCCCTTGTCTCCATTTTTCAAAATGCCACAACTTTCCTAAAAATTATTTAGTTACACTTTAATCTGTGACAATATTAGGTGCTCCTTTAATATTAGGTGCTCATATCGTATTTCTGCTTTTTCTTTGAAGACCTTTATTGTTTTCTATATTATTTTAATTCCACCTTTAAATGAGAACTGTATCAATGTTGCAGTTCTGAGTATTGTTTGAACAATTCTGATCTCTTTAGTCCTTAGTAGATGTAATGAGATATTTTTATTTATTTGTATACATTGGAATCTCTGTTTTACTTTAGCAGAGCCAACTCTGATATAAGCCTTTACAAATTCCATGCAGTATCTATGCTGAATTTACTGCAGCTTGTAAGCGGCAATAAAGAACAACCTTTCGTGCTTATCAATGTGTTGATTATGTGACTAACTGCTAGGATTTACACACTCTGCTTTTTATTACAGTGATAGTTATCTTTTTTGCTATAAGCGCAGTGAAGCAACTAGAATGTCACAGAGAAAACTATCACCTCTTCCCCTCCCCCACTTTGAATGCACTTTTCATTTATTATGAAACTATAATGATGAAAGGGATGATGGGGAAGAAATACCTGCTATCTGAACATTACAAAAATGAGCTTCAAGTGTGAAATCATAATGAAAATGGAAAAGTGTCTTAAATGGATTGTATTTCCTTGCCTTTGTGCACCAATGAAAGAGCTATCTAATTCTCTACTTAATCTGTGTTTCCTACAATAACAAGCTATATCTCAAAGATTCATCAAACTCTACGTAGTCGTGAATGTAAAAGGTTATGGCTATTCTGCTTTTAGGAGGCCAAGCACAAGTACTACATAAAGCCCACTGATGCATACGTTGTAGCTCTCCAGGCTGTAATACATGTCAAATCATCTGTTTCTCCCAGGTTGTTTTAAACCTCTGTATGATACTGTGTGCAGCTTCTATCTGCATTTGAGTGGATAGGTATCGACAAGTTGGCTGTCACCATTTCTACGTCCTCATGTAAACTAAGGTGTAATCAAGTTTTCAGAAATAGGCAGTTACTTCTATGAAGTATCTAAAATTTAAACTCTGTATCTTTAGAAAGGGAAATGGTGAATTTGGTTTATTGATAAACAAGTTGCGTTTCACTTGTCAATGAGACAAAGATGAGAGAGTCTGTTAGGACTCTTTAAATTAATCTACTGAATGTGTTTCTTTTGCAGACCACAGATGACATCCTTGTGGCCTCAGCAGAGTGTCCCAGTGATGATGAGGACATTGACCCCTGTGAGCCGAGCTCAGGTGGGTTAGGTTAGTCGACTTTTTTTTCTTACTTCCTTGGCTTTACTGTGAATCTTTGTTGCATGTTATATTCCTTAGAAGGGCCTTACATCCATGTCTAGAAGGCTACCCTCCTATACAATGGTTGATTGTAAGATGAGGACTCTTACTTTTTACATAAATTTTTCTACATTTATTGAAAAAAATTAAAAACAAAACACGCCAAGATTATGTATTTCAGAAAAAGCAGTGGGTATAGCACACAAGGTTGCTACCTTACTGTTCACTTTCCATTAGCTCACAACATAATTTTTGTGTGGAACAGTATAATGAGCTTTCCCTTGGGTCACTCATAGTAAAATTATAAAGCTAAAAAATTGCAGCACATTGTGCAAAATTATTTGACCTTTCTGCTGACAAAAAATCCCCACCACTCACTCTGCCAGCAAATTACCTTAAGTGATATATTTCTCAATTTTGGAAGTGAGAGTATTATGGCAGTAGTAAAACAAACAGCAGGTAGAGTCCTTGATATATTTAATAGAGAAACATTTGATTCTTGCCTTGTTTCCCTAAAATTCAAGCTGAAGCATTTTACTTCTTTATGATATGTTTGCATCTTCTGATGTGACTAACACATAAATAATATTACCATACAGCCCTTATACCATTAAGTGGTGGCTGTAGACCCTGAAAAATAAATGAAGCAGAGCCTAGATTTGACTCCAGATATTCATAATCTCAAATGTTAGGCTCATTTCCATTAGTTTTGTTTTGTTTTGTTTTTGGAAAGCAGTATTTAAATCCAATAATATTCTTTGCTGGCCACAGTGGCTCACGCCTGTAATCCCAGCACTTTGCGAACCTGTCAGGCAGATCACGTGAGGTCAGGAGTTCGAGACCAGCCTGACCAACATACCGAAACCCCGTGTCTGCCAAAAATACAAAAATTAGCCAGGGGTGGTGGTGTGCACCTGTAATCCCAGCTACTCGGGAGGCTGAGGCAGGAGAATCACTTGAATTTTGGAGGCAGAGGTTGCAGTCAGCCAAGATCACGCCACTGCACTTCAGTCTGGGTGACAGAGTGAGACTTTGTCTCAAAATAGTAATAATAATAATAATAATAATAATATTGTTTGCATTAACAAAATCAGTGAGGTGGATATGGACTAGCCACTGTCTGCTAGTGGTGTCTATTGACGTCACCTGGAATCCCAGGAGAATTTCATGTTACAAGAAAGCAATGAATTTGCATTCTTGTGAAGAATACATTTTAGAGTAAATTTTTAGAGTAAATCTGCTCTTTAGAGTAAATCGGGATGTGTATCGTGCATCTCGTTTTGAATATTTGAAGATCACTTCCCCCACTGATTGTAACTACTGACTCTAGCGCTTAGAGAGCAGCTGCTGAGTGCCAGGGAGGGGGATGAGCTCTGCAGTCACCTCGCAACAGGAGAGGGCGTGGGAGACCAGGCTGAGTATGCTCTGGTCCTCTTTCCTCCAGGCTGCACAGTGCCAGTCAGGATTCTCAGCCCCCAGAAACATCTGTCATTCACAATGATCAGCTCTCTCACGATCATCCATTCCATTCTCCCAGCTTATTGACCTCTGCAATCATTCCCTCTTGGTTGTCGTGACAGATATAGTCACATCATGGCACTATCCCAGGCCCCTTTACTACAGTCTTGCCTTTGTTTTCATTGATATGCTTAATCTCTCTGTTAGTTAGCAACAACAACAACAAAGAAGAAAATCATTGCTGTTGCTTTTCTGTCATTATATCAGTCCCATCTCTCTGCCTTTTCCCACCCTCAAATTTACCTTCCCCATTTCTTGTATGCTCACATGTCCAACCTTCCTGGTGTTAATCTTTCATATGAGGACATTCTTTTTTCTAGCTCTTCTCTGAGATCCTCTAGCATGAATTGTCCATGTAACAAAGTCTGGTCTTTGTATATTGGGGTGTGTGTTATGTATAGTTGATTTTGTTTTCCCAATTACTGTTTTCTTGAGGTTAGTCTGTTTTTTCAGTATTTTACACAGTATTAATACAGTGATGAAAACTGTTGAAGTTCTTACTAATTACAGGTCTTGCTGAATCCGTCTTTTATTGTCTAAGTATAAGCTATCATACCTTTCTTGCAGAATCCTTACCTTGAGTACCCAGTGAATCACAGTAACTAATTGCACTTACAATTGTCACTTTTTCTTCTTGAGCTCAGCTGAATGATCCAGTTCTTTGAGCCATTGCTTGTAGGTCTGATTAACCATTCCTTATAGACTAGTTTACTGCCTTTTGCTCTGGTGACACTAGACCTAAGAACAAGATAGTGGAGGAAGAAGATAGAGGAGAGGAGAGAAAAGGGGGATGGGGTAACCCTTTTGCCATAGTCTTCTCCTTGTTCACCCAAATTTTGTCTGCTTTGTTAAATATCATAACACAATGGAAAGTGAGTAGCAGCTTATTAATTGCCATACTCCAGGGAATCTTTCTGCCTTTGTTTTCTTTACCACAGTATCACTACCTGAAAGAATCATGTTTACTTATCTATTTGTTTTTCATTCATTAATGTATAGCTTGAATCTCCCCACAAGAAGGTAAACTCCAGGAAGCAGGAACCCTGTTTTTCTTGCTGCCTGCATGGACTTGTTCTGTCAATTTTAATTCTGTTCTACCGCACCAAAGTCTGTTGCCCAAAATGAAAAACACACCAGCTACGGATTCCATCTAATGACAGCTACTTTAACACTCTTGCACCAAGCCTCCTTTAACTTTTTCTCCTCTCTTTCCATATGTCCCTCCGTGTCCCTCCTCACTCTTCAGTTTTCAATTTATCAGTTCCTGTTAAAGCAAGAACTTCAGATTATTCTGTGATAATGGGATCATTCACTATAAACCTGTCCTGTGATCTTATCTCCCCTGGTCTTGATAATGTATGCCATGAATCATGTCTCTTTCAATTTCTGATGTTAAATCTCTTTCTACATTAGCCTTTTCTGTCCAACTCCCTATTACTTTTTTTTCAAGTCTGTCTTTCATGCTTCATATGGAGGTGACTCTTTTGGCAGAAATTGGTTCTATTTATGTGATAGCTTCTAATGAAATTCTTAGTTTATATGATGTTTTTCTATTTTTTCAACTTTTTTCTTGGAATAGGGGTTGCATTTTTCTGTTTGTTTTTGTTTTGAATCCTAAATCTGAATAATGCTCCATCATAGGCTGCCCGTCCTGCAGCTCATTGTTTCCTAATGTACTGGTTTTCTTAAATCTCTTTTTCCTGCTTGCGATTCATCTTGAATGCAAATGTAAAATAATAGACAATAATTATAGCTGCTGCTGTTATTAGACATTGGATAATTGTAGCTGCTATTAGATGTTAGAAATATCTTCATAAAAATTATTTTGCCTATTAGGCTGTATTTTGGGATAGTGGCTTTTTATAAAACTAACATATGGAGGTAAATATTCTGATACAGACATATCTTCTATGCACATTTGCTAGTCCTTGGGCAAGTGAAAGCAAATCTTTGTAAGATGCACCGTTACCTTTATAGGTGTGTTGCCCAAATCTTCTGGGTAACTCACTCTCCCTAAGTATTTACTCATGAGTTTTCTAATCACTCTGACCCTCCCCCACCTTCAAAAAATGGCTTTCTCTCTGAAAATGTGCTATGTTCCTTGTTTAGGTACCTTCCTAAAGCTGTTAGTGGAAGAAATAGGAAAAATCTAGCATCATCTTGAGTACTAGTAAATTTTTCCTTTTATCAAATATTTGATAAATTGGAATTACCTGTGGTTCCACTCAGAACTCTTAATGAACAGGGAAGTTATATATTTGGTGGGCTGTCAGCTTCATCATTGATCAATTATTGAGTGTCACTATATACCCACTGCTCTGCTACGCTCTGGGAGCAAAAATAGAGAGTTTATACTTTCAGTTCTTTTTTTTTTTTTTTTTTTTTTTTTTTTTTTTT